AAAAAAAAAAAAAAATTTCTTTTCAAACACCAATGGTAAAATAGTCTCAACCCATTTAACACATTCTTCCCGCATTCAAAATAGTTATTCCATAAGTACCAGTAACATGGATATGAAAATAATTTATAAAATCTAAGGGTTGGGGATAGAATTGTTACAAATTTTGGTATTTATATTTATAGCATGAAATCCTTTAAAATCTATTAAAATCCCTCAAATTGATGAATCCTTCTAAATGAAGTGGTTATTGAGGACGCCTAAAGTTTTAAAGAAGCTAATAAAATCTAAGTTGAAGACACTTTTAGGGAATTATATTTTATTTGAGTTGAGAACATCACAATTTATATGAAGTTTTAGAATCTATTAAATCTAAGGGCCTACTTGGGAGTTTCGGGGTAGCAATTATGAACGTTTTTTTAAGTATTGATTTTGGGTGTTTATAAACTGATCAATTTGGATGGTTTTTAATAGCGGTTTTTCAAACACTCCAACCCATGTTTGGGAGTTCATTATCTAACGGTTCTAAAAGATGCTTGAAAAAATAAAATTACACATATACCCATGTCATATAATTGCAATAATCCTTAGCTGATATATTCTTCTTTTAGAGGTCAAGAAGTCACACCTTTAATAATATTTAACCTCTGTTCCCAACTTAAAATCATTTTCAGTTCAAAAGGAAAATAGCAAAGCCAAAAGCTGTTGAAAATGAAAAACTTTCCAAGTGGTTAAGTTATTGAAATTGATTGTGGCTCAATAGAAGGCATGGCCAATGAGTCTCGAAGTATCGTTGGTTAGCGTGAGAAAACCCCCTTGTGCTCTATCTCTGAGACAGTATTTAGGCTTATGTTGCTGTCTACGCTTTGAAAATCATGGCAAATGAACTCATCAAAACTGAGAAAAAATGCTTGGGAGAAAAATAATAAGCTACAGGAATAAAAATATAAGCCTTTGGCCATTAATTCTCTTGTTAGCAAGAAAGAGAGGATAGAAAAGTGGGTTATTCAGTAGATTTGGTAATAATTATTTTATAGTGTAAACTTGGGAGAGAATTTAAGAAACGGCCAAAACTCGTCAATTTAGTAAGTTAAGAAAAACAGTCAAAATTACACTACATCAGTTTTGGATGATTTTTAAACCATCTATAAACGGTGTTAAAAAAAAAATAGCAAGCACCAATTTTCTGAACCCCTCATAAATTGTACCATCCAAAATCAATCAAAACAAGTGGGAAAAAAAACTCCCAAACAGGCCCTAAATTGAGAAAAACCCCAGAAATGAATATCATTAATGATAAAACACCAAAATATGTAACGCTAAATGCTAGATAAGAATAAAAGACTCATTTTTAGCCCATATTTGACAACAATACTTTCGAAAAAATAAAGTTTTGAATAAAAAATAGAATAATATTATTTAATATTTATCACTATGATGATAGAACATTAATAATATGACAGTTTATGTGAAATAATGTAATTGAATAGTTTAATTGTTATGAGAGATAGAAAAATAGGATGAATAATGAATTATCAAATCATCAATATTCCATTATCATGATAATAGATAACATTACTCTTAAAAAATGAGAAAAAAATTTGAATTTACATATAAAATATATTATTGTGTAAATATATAATTAAAAAAAAGAGTTTTAAAAGTATGATTTTCAAACAAGAGCTTAATTAGACATAATATTTTAAAAACTTAGCTACACATACAATTTTTTTTTAACAAAATTAATAGAGGGAAGACAACTGTTGTAGTGTGCCAAAACTCCCCCCTGTTTTAGAATATCCATATTTTAATGTCACTTGAAACCATGACCAATGATGTTGAATAACATTTTTCTTACATGGCTTGAAAATAATTTAATTATAACAAAAAATTAAGTTGCAATTTGGGATTGTAGCATTTTCTTTAAAAACCAAGGTGAGGTGTGAAAAAGTTCACCTAATTATTCGCAGTTCTGCACAAATCAATAAGAAAAATCTTAAATTAACAAATTCTTGATGTGTTTCTGAGCGGTCTCATATAAAGCTCACAATATAATGCAGAAACATTTGAAAACAAGGTTAGAAATTTTAATTGAACAAAGACTCTACAGATTATAACTACTAATCTATTACAAACGAAATGATGTTAAACAAACATAAATGTAATTCAACGATAATCTCATTACTGCAAATTATCAAGATTAGAAGTCTTCATCAATCTTGAACACATGGGTATCTCCATTTCCATTCAAACTCGACATCACTGATGCCTTCTGGTATTCTCCAACCCTCTTCTCAAAGAAATTCGTTTTCCCCTGCAAACTGATCAATTCCATCCAATCAAATGGGTTTTGCGCATTGTATAATTTGCTGTAACCAAGTGCATTCAACAGTCGATCAGCTACGAACTCAATGTACTGACTCATCAGATCACCGTTCATCCCAACCAGGGCACAAGGAAGGGCGTCGCAAACAAATTCCCTCTCAATTTCTACCGCGTCAGCAATAAGTCCCTTGACTCGATCCTCACTCAGTTTCATCCTCAGCAGGCTGTAAAGCAAGCACGCAAAATCACAGTGTAAACCCTCATCTCGCGAGATTAACTCGTTCGAGAAAGTTAATCCAGGCATTAATCCTCGCTTTTTTAGCCAAAATATTGCGCAGAAGCTTCCCGAGAAGAAAATCCCTTCAACGCAAGCGAAGGCGAGTATACGCTCGGCAAAGGATTCTGATCCGTCGATCCAGCGGAGGGCCCACTTGGCCTTCTTCTCCACACAAGGAATGGTCTCGATTGCGTGGAAAAGCATATTCTTCTCCTCCGAATCCTTGATATAAGATTCAAGAA